TGCTATTGTGCCACATCAAGAAGAGGTATAGAAATAGATTCCCGCCATATTTTCCACAATGCAAGGAGACTACAAAAGGATCGTCAGGATCGTCGTGATATTCGCGGAACGCTTAAAACGTGTTAAAGATAACGGAAAGAAAAAACTATGATGGTATACTGTCGATTGGACGGGTGTGCTTCTCTCGGCGTCATCCTTTGGAATCGTCAAGGATTAGATCCTGAAAGGGAAGGACGCCCGGTCGGCAACCTGCGCGTAATTGGAGACCCGGAGACACGTAACATAGCCTTTACGTATCGTGTATACTTGGAAATTCCTCGCCAACGTAAAGGCATCTTTTTGTTCGATTCTTGCCTGAGTCCAGTCGGCCCATGTCGGAAACACCAAATAGATTTTATGAGGGTTATAAACTGCCGGAATCTCGATTCTCGAGTATCGATGGTTCCAAAGGGGCTAATCTGCGGATGAAAACTGTAATAAAACGTTCGCCCTATGTACGTACTTCGGAATCCTTTTGCGCATCCTTACTGAACGTGGGGTGGACCAGGTATCTTCTGATTCTTCCCCGCGAGAATCCCAAAAAATTTGATGCCTTCCAGCTGTCCGCGTGTTTCCTGCACATGCAAATCAATTTCTTCATCTCGCTTATCGATAATTAATATTTAATTTTCTTTTTGCTCTTAAATTCTATTTCATACATTTCATAGAATTTTAGATTACATTTTTAAAAATTTTACAATACACTTATATACTATATACATAATATAAATCGAATATGGATCTGTATTATGATCTGTATTATGGTAGAAAGAAAACAGAATTGTTAAATATATTCTGATGGTCAATTCTGATAGCAAAGATTCAGCACAGATTCATATAAATGTATTATAATTAAATAAATAAAATAGCAACTCACGCGAAGCAACTTAAATGATAATACTATTTAAACAATCCATTATTATTATTATTATTTATAATCATATAAAATAATATTATAACTGATGAAATATATTTTATTTGAATAAATTATGTTTAATAATATTCTGAAATATTATAGCCTGATATTAACGATTTAAATAATTTGTAAAAGAAATGAGAAAAGTTAGAAAATTGCCGCGTGTCGAATCATAAGATCATTAAATCTCTTCTTCTGTACGCTACCGCCAACTGAAGAAGTGAATGTAAACTACATAGCCACATCTTCTCAAATCTGCTGGTAAATTATTTTTGGCGCATAGCCGTATTAGTCTCTGCAAATCATAGCTCAAAAACATGACTTTTGATTTTCGAAATCTCAAAGTCTCGTAACGTATAAATTTTTTTAATTAGCAATTAACAATTATATTATATTTTTGACAAATTAAATTATTGTTACTAAAATTATATTTGTACTAAATTATCAATATGTGAGATGGAAGGATGTTTTATACGGAACAGTTTATATTTCTGCGATAATCTTTATCAATTTAGAAGACACATTTTGTATTATCGGTCAGTATGATGATTCAGGAATATATTATTTGCATTGTTAAATCATTTCTATTCTTTCGGGTCCTCCACCTTATTACAAAGATATACATTATAATGAAAGTTTAAAATGATTGAATATATATGCGATAAATGCAAGACAATAATACCTAGAGGTTATTTATAATCGCCTCATGTCTTCCGCCTCATGTTTCTTAGAATAATAGAATAATTAAATACAGACAAGAACAAACATCATCTAAGATATGTCTCAATTGCTCGCGAAACTAAAATAAAAATTGCTTGTATAAGAATATTAAAAAAACTAAGGGAAATATGTTTTATATATGTTATTTAGAAAAATTACATGTTAACATGGATTTATTCTTTATTTTATAAATACAAGATATATCTCAACAATTTTCCATTTGAAAATCTCATTGTAATAATGCTTTTTTATACTTACATTTAACAGTTGTCAAGTAAAACCGTCGTTCAGTTATTGAGGCAAGCAATTTAATTATGCGAATCAAGCATAGATAGAATACAATAAAATTTTGTTTGAAAAACAAATTCCGATAAGTATTAAGTATCTATCGGAGTATTCAAAATATATCCGTCTCAAAATGTTAAGTTAAAATATTAAATTAAAAATGTAGAATATCAAAATGCAAAAATTTTGATAAAACGAATTAGTCAGTCACATAGCATGCATTAAAAAAGTTATTTATTTTTTTTAATAGAAATTGTAGTAAAAATGTATATAAATTGATTGGTTTAAATATTTTGTGTCTTTTTATAAAAATAATTAAGAAAAAAGTGGTTTTACTTGTAATTTGCATAATTTGCATAAGTAGAATTGTCCTATCTTAAAAATATCAAGTCCACTTCAGACAATTTATAATTCTCGCCAGATTTGAAGATAGTATTCTATTTATATTTTAAACGCTGTGCATTTTAACATAAATATATGCATATAAATTCTGATTCTTTTATTTTTATAGATATTTCTCATATTATTCAGTATATGAAATTATAAGTAAAACTTTATCATAAATTCTGATAAAAGCTAGATTTAAAATGAGTTTGAAATAAAATTTTTTATATAATAAAGTACAGTAAGTTAACAATATGGATATATTCTTTCTTATCATTGATTATTTCAGTTGTTTATTTTGTGTTTATCACACGGTATAATATTTTAACTCTGTCTTATCCTTATGTCGCTTTCTTAGAATATAGCAAAGTATCATCATTATATCATAAAATATTGGCAAGCGATTGACGTTGCGTTAAGAATTGAAAATTGAACAAGAAATATATGCAAAATTATGTACTGGTAGCAAACCGCATTACATTTAATTTATAGGCTTGCAATCTCTTATCTTAAATCGTTATAATTTACGTGGTTCTTTTATATATATCCATAGAACGTCGGTTTTTTGTATTCTGAATTTTTTAATAAATTTACAGAGATATTTTTCTTTTTTAATAAAAAGAGATGAATATTTACGCATATTATAAACTTCAATATTTTGTAGAATATTAAAACACGGAATACAGTTAAACATACAGTTGCACATTTGGCAGTTTTTATTATGAATTCTTTTATTGTCAATATTACATATTATGTGGGAAAGCCCCATTTAGCTTATGTTAGTAGAGCTTTTGCTGATTGTGCTTATCGTTGAGCGAGTGCATTCCCAATTCAAGAGGAAATCTGCACGTCTTGTGTAATTCTTGGAAATACCAAAGCAGCGATTAAAAATTTTAACATATAAAAAATTTTAACATAGCATGCAATTTTCGTAAGTCTCCAAGAAATCTTCTTCAATTAACAGACGTCACAGCGATATTACAGTGACGTCATAGTGACGTCACAGTGACATGTTCTGCAACATGTGGAATGTATGAATAATGACAATAAGCAACGTAAAATTTATACATTTACAATCAAAGTAATAATTATATTCAACACTAATACTTATATATTTGAAATATTATTTTATACCTTGTTTTGTATTTTATTTTAATTTCAAACAAGTAATTTGCATAATAATTAGTATAATTAGTATAATTTTAGAAGCAAATTAACATTATGTATGCAAATAATTCAACAAACAAGTTACAAATGCACCTTTAATTGTTTTAATCTAAATTTAAACTTCAAATTTGTAAACAATTTTGCTATAAATAAAACATTGTATATAATTATATTATTATAATACATATTAATTCTTATATTATAATTTCCTCGTGAAATTGAATATACCGTTTGCATTAGAAAAAATAACTTAGTTATAAGTTAAGTCGTTTTCTTTGACAATATAAAGCGTTATTTCATTTATTGCTTTTCTTTCTATCTATACCGGAAGTATAATCACGACAGTTTATCTATTTCTTCACTTCCAACTGGACATATCGAGGAAAATTTTGCGTTAATAATTTTATATACTATTTATACTTTCCATATAATACTTTTTGTTCTACTTTATATTTAAAATGGAACTAATTCAAGATTGGTACTTAATATAATTAAGGAATTTATACCAAAATTTTTGAAGAATAGTTATAAAAACAGTGATCTTTGACATTTTCGCTGAATAGAAATTAACTTCAAACTCATTAAGAGTCTCTCATTAAAAGTTAATCCAGCATATGAATGGGATATTCTGTATAGCCCAATACGTGAGTTGTATTTCGGCGATTTATTCATTCTCGTTTACTATTTTTATACTTTTGTTGCGCAATAAGATATTTCTGTGTGTGCGTCTGTTTTCGCTAATTTTTTATAGTATTGCATATAACACGCTTTATCGGTGTGCCTTGGATTCCCCGATTTCTTGTTCCATCGAACCACTCGAGAGAGGGGGTCATCCACATTGTTAAGCGCCTTGTTTTCTTTCCTTCTTTTCTTTCGTTGCAAACGTGTTTGAACGATAGAGGAATTCTGAAAAACTGGTATTTCCGTACGAGAAATCCGCTTAAGCGATTGCTTTACGTTCCTTTAAATTAACTGAATGCAATATTCTTTCGGTTTTCTCGAAGACAATAAACGCGCTTTATACAAAGAAACGTAAAGTTGACTCGCCTGAAGCAGATTTGGAAATCATCATCGAGAATATGCGAATACGAAAAGAATCTTTGAAAAAAATACTAAAAAGACTTGATCTTATACATACAAATGCTGATATATCCATGTAATTGGAAAAAAAAATATGATATTAAAGACTTTATGATATTAAAGGCTTTTCTTTGATTGATCACGGATGATGAAATTATTAATAGCGATTAGACGCGGGACTAAAAAAGATAAACAAAAAATAAAGAAGAAAGAGAAGAAACAAAAATAAAGAAGAATTATCGTATGACGGTATTAATTTTTCGAACATGCGCTTGCATAAGCTGATGCATGACTGAAGATATCATTGAAAGAATACGCAAGCAAGTTCTCGGTCTCTCTGTGATAATAATCGATATTGAGTGACACGCGGTCGTGATTCATCATCGGACGTCAGTCCGCAGATTCCTCAGTCTTCTTCCTTCTCGCGCGGTATCGTCCAGAAAGAGGTGTTTCGGACACACTTATCTTTCATTTTCCTCATTGCGTTCGGGATTTGTTTCGCGTGTTTTTCTTGGATGAGCTGAATGACACGATTCACGGTCATTAAAACTCGCGATACCCCACCATCTTCGGCGCGGAAACTGTTCCGATAGAGAACTGGTCAGTTAGTGTTGGCCAGTTGGTGAAGGTTCGGCAAGGCCGTGGGAGCGCAATCTTCTCCGAAGATTAGCATGCTGGATAATCTTCGGTCGTCGCGGCGTTGAAAAATCCAAAATTTAAGCAGATTTCGTTCAGAGTGTTTGCACAAAATGTCTCGGAATAAATAAGAATATATAATAAGTAAATAAATATAAGAATATAGAAACGAAAAAGAAATAGGAAGAATTTGCTCGAAGCATAATAATATCAAGAAGACGATACAGTGTTCGAATAAGAAACGCGAGAGATACCGATATATAAACAGTAATAAAATATAAGAAATATAATAATCTTATCTGAATCTGAAATCCATTTAATGAAGCGGTGACTGTACATGACCCACCGTTACCGGTTTGACAACAGCTGAGTGGCCAAGGTGCAAGGTGAATATGTGCTCGTAGAATGCACGGTGATGATGAAAATACTCTGATTCGCGTACAGGTGTCGATTTGCCTTACAGAATCTTTTAAACATGATCAACTGAAAACTAGTGATTAAAGCAATTTCGCGTATATATCTAGCAATTATTGTGCGATTCGCAACTGGGGCTTGCATACATTTAAGTAAATTATCTGTTCTTATTTTTTAATTTTTCAAAATAAATTTACATTTCCTAATATCTCTTTGACGAATGTTCTTTGATAAAAAAAACGCTGCCAAATTTATGAAAAAATAAATGTGTCATTAAAATTCTCATTTTTTTATCTTGAATACACAAATATATTTCTGTCGACTTTAAACAAGCTACATTGCTCGTTGTTAATATCTTAAATTTTGTTTACTAATATGAAATTTAAGTATTTCTTACGTTTTCAATTTGAATCTACATAATAATTTCCTTTTTCTTTTTGTAAAAAATTTGTAAAAGATTTTTTGTTGCTGGAGCAAAAGATTTACTGGAAGATCATTAAACTTTAATTGTTCAATTTTTTTAAAATATTAAATTCAATTAAACTGATCAAACTGTTGAAATGCAGATTGAATCTGAAATCTTGTTGTTAAAATAGCAGTTCATAATAATGCGAAAACAAATTAAGTGCGATAAGAATGAAATTACTATCTTTGCTGACCTTTTCATCGTATCGATATGAAGTGAAGTACATATAGTTTTTGACAATGGTTATTGAGCAAAGAAGACATATGATGCTCAGTAATAGAGGTATTGATGCAATAGTTTTAGTCTATTTGTACAAGGAATATTAATT